AAGGTGGTTCAAAATCGGAACCCTGTATCTATAGACCGATATATTTAACTTGCAAAACCTGCAAGGTGATGGAGCACATAGTACTGAGCCATATTACTAAACATCTAAACTCAAATAAAATCCTCAAAAATGAGCAACATGGGTTTCGGAAACGTTTGTCAACAGTCACCCAATTGATTAATTCACAAACGATTGGGCAGAGACGTTAAGTGTCGCACCATCTTCTCTCAAAGCTGTCTTTCTATGGTATCAGGAGTAACACCCTTGGCTGGGTTAAAGCATTTCTATCCAATCGCTAGCAAAGTGTGTCTGTCAACGGGATACATTCTGTTTTTGGACAATTCAACTGGTCTTCAACTTTAACTGGCCCAATTCCAATTGGTTTGCAATGGTCCCAGTTCCACTTGGTAACAATGGCTTTAATCAACTTCTGCAGACTTACAAAATACACTGTGAGTTCATATACAAACCATAATTTCTTTAATTTATTACTCAAACAAACATCATACGGTAGGGACTTTACTTCCCTAGGGTCTCATTTACTAGCATACCCTTTCATTTATAATCGTTTTGCTAATGTCTTACTGCTAAACATACTGTGCCTCAAATTCAATGCTGCTTTACAGTCCGGTTTAAATAAGCATTTTTTTTTTCGTAATGTAGTCCTAATACAAGAGTTTATTTTATAAAACAATAATCAAGAACCAGTTGTGTTACAGGTGTGCATAAACCAGCATTCTTTGTGATATTGCAGCAGCAACTGTCCATAACCATTTCTTTTTTTGTCTGATGGTACCAAGATAATTAGTATGAATTATGTCGTTGAACAAATCTATTTTGAAATATTGAATCACTGTGACTTGTACTAACATTTTTCGGAGTTCACTCTTGCTGAAAGATATAACAAAACAAAATCTTTAAAAAGAATAATAATGGTAAACTTATACAGTATATAGAGCGCATATTATAGAAACCGCTATTAAATGTATTACATCCCTTTATTATTGTATTGAATTGAAAACGATGAGATTCTACCACCACCGTTCGTCAATCAGGCATCAAATACTGAACATGAACTCATCTTGCCTCCACAATCATTTAGAGATGACGTACAAATGCCATTTAACGTTGCAGTGAATTTGGAGAACCCAACTGTAGGTGTCAAGAAAGAACCAGAACCACAAGAAAACCCCATCAAAGACAATAGATTCTGCAGTCACATGGTTCAACCACCTCAAACCTCAACTGTAATGACTGAAATAGGAAATGTCCTGTTTCGCAAAGAACTACTAAGCTCAAGTCTTCGACAATTTGATGACACTCCAGCATCTTACCGAGCTTGGAAAATCACACTCTCTAACACTATCAAAGAGCTGAATGTTCCAACAAATCAAGAAATTAATGTTGTGATGAAGTGGCTCGGAGAAAAATTAAGACAACTTGTTGCTCTGCTGCATGTAGTCTACATTGAGGATCTATGCGAATCTCTACGACATGTATGGAACCTGCTCGACGAAACATATGGTGCATCAGAGGCAGTGGAAAAGGGCCTAACCAAGCGTTTACAAGATTTTCCCAAGTTTAATCTCTGAGAAACAGACAAATTACGACAACTCAGCCACCTTTTGCTGGAAGTGCTCCACGTCAAGGATACTGGGAAGTATCCAGGGCTGGCGAGCTTAGATTCATCACATGGTCTTAGCCAAATCATCCAGAAACTGCCACACAACCTGAAGGAAAGTGGGATCAAGAAAGGAACCACTTATAAGACAACGCACTGTGTTGCGTTTCCGCCATTCTAATTCTTTTGCGAATTTATTCGCTCAGAGGCTAAGATGAGAAATGATCAAAGTTTCTCAATGATAGCTAATACCATAGAACTAGGAAAATCATTCAACGCTTCAACGTCAGCATCAAGGAATGGCCCAAGGTGTCCATTGTGCAACGGTTCACACTGGCTGTCACAGTGTAAGGAATTTAGATCCAAGTCTGTTGAAGAGAGACAGAAGCTTGTAAGAGAAAAAAAAGCTCTGTAGGAACTGCCTTACACATAGACACTTTGTATCATCATGTCCCAGAAACAGTTTCTGTAAATTATGTAATATAAAGCATTCAAGTTTCTTACACACTGGAACACGATCAAGTCAAAGTGAAACCAGCGTTAATGCTCAAACCATAAGTAACTCAGGGTCATCACCACCTACCTCAAATGCATCAAATCTACCAACTCAATCTACACCCACATCCATGGCAGTCGAGGTTAAGGGTGTAAGGGTTGGGTTGGCTGTTGTGCCAGTGAGAGTTAAGTGTACAGACGGCAGGAAGACAATCAACACCTACGCATTTTTGGATAATGGCTCAACAACTACCTTTTGTACTGATGCACTTGCCAACAGACTAGGAGCAAAAGGGAAACCAGTTGACCTGAACCCGACTACCATGAATGGGCAATCAACATCAGCATGTAAATTAGTTTACAGATATCCAATTTAAATGAAGAAGAAGTTTTCATAGCATCCAATGTTTATACCAAACCAAGCCTACCAGTTTCAAAGAATGCAATCGCTACTGAAGAAGACATAAAAAATTGGGTGCATCTTCAGGGTGTTGAAATATCTAGCATCAATACTGAGGTAAAACTTCTGATTGGAGGAGATATCCCAGAACTACATCAACCTCTTGAAGTCAAACCATCTCTCAACGGTGGTCCATATGCAACTCGCACTGTCTTAGGATTGGTGGTGAATGGTCCACTAAGCAAAGGAAAACAAAGCAACGTATACAACTTTATCTCTAAGGCTGACACTATCGTTCACCCGGATTCATCCCTGGAAGAGCAGTTCAGACAGTTCTGCAATATCGAGTTTAGTGATCTACCAAGTGAAAAAACAGCCATGTCTCGGAGCGATATCCAAGCTTTACAGATAATGCAAAGCTCGATACACTCGACAGATGGTCACTACCATGTGTCAATGCCATGGAAAAGCCCACCTGAAACACTTCCAAACAACAAAACTATGGCACTCAAACGACTAAGCTACCTGAAATCCAGACTTGAAAAGGATAGTCAACTTCACCAGAAATACACTGACTTCATGCAAGATTTACTTGACAAGGGCTATGCCAGAAAGGTTGAGGAAACAAACAATCAACAACCTAGATGACAAGCTCTTTCAAGGACCAGATCTTACGAACACCTTAGTTGGTGTTCTGTTGCGCTTTCGTTTGGGACCTATCGCCTTTTCAGCTGACATCGAAAAGATGTTTTATCAAGTGCGGGTGGCAGAAGATGATAGTAACTACTTATCCTACTTGTGGTGGGAAAATGGTAAACTAAGTGCACAAACGAAGGAATACCAAAATGCTTGTACATCTCTGGCGGAAAATCATCACCTAGCTGCGCTAATTTTGCGCTGCGGAATGTAGCCAAAGACCACACCAACGATTTTGATCTTATTGTAACAAACACCGTTAACCATGACTTCTATGTGGATGACTGTCTGAAGTCTGTAGACGAGGAGGATGAAGCTATTAATATCGCCAAAAATATGAAACTTTTGCTGTCCCGAGGAGGCTTCAATCTTACAAAGTGGAGTTCAAATTCTACAAGATTTGTTAGTATGCTTACAGACAATGAATGCAACGCTTCAACTTCATTGTGTGGTGGAAATCAGCAAAGAACACTCGGCGTTCATTGGTTTACTAATGAAGATACTATTGGTTATATTATCTCTCAAAAGAAGAAGCCCAGCACACGAAGGGGAATTCTTTCCGTGGTTGCATCAGTTTACGACCCGCTAGGATTGGTAACGCCCTTCATACTGAAAGCAAAACTGATACTCAGAGAGTTTTGTCTGATTGGATGTAAATGGGACTAACAAATTCCGTCTGAAATCGAAATACGATGGCATCACTGGTTGTCTGAACTTCAATATCTGGAGCAGTTACGTGTTCGACGCTGCTATAAACCATCAGAGTTCGGCACAATAGTTTATCGCGAGCTGCATCACTTTAGAGATGCTTCATCAGCTGCCTACGGAGCCGCATCTTATCTTTACCAAAGGGACGACTGTGGGAATGCGTGCTGCATGCTTGTAACCGCTAAGTCAAGATTTGCTCCCATCAAAACGCAAACCATCCCACGATTAGAGCTTCAGGCGGCTGTTCTAGCAACTCGCCTTGATAGAATAATTCGAGAAGAACTCCATGAAATCGAAATAACAGAACAATTTGTTGGACTGAAAGCACCTGTGTTCTTAGATACGTGAATAACGAACACACAAGATTTAAGACATTCGTGGGAAACAGGGTCACAACAATCATTAACCAAACCAAACGAGACTAATGGAGACATGTTAGTTCTTCACAGAATCCTGCAGACCTGGTATCACGTGGGATGTCTGCTGAGGATATGATACAGAGTGATATGTGGTACAGTGGTCCCAGTTTTTTGATGGAAAATGAAGGGAAGTGGCCTCAAATGCCTATTGATCTTATCATTGAAAGGGAAGACCCTAAAGTAAAGGCAGTAATGGCAGTAGCTGTTTCTACAGAAGATGTCACTCAGTTGATGCATCGATTTTCAAGTTGGGCCAAACTAGTGAAAATCGTGTGTTGGATATTAAGATGGCCACGTATGCTAAAATCCAGAAATTATCAAAACAACCGATCAATATCAGTTAAAGAGTGGAAGTATGTTGAGATGGTAATTTTCAAGTACATTCAAAATCAGTCGTTTTGTTCCGAAGTCGATTCATTGTTAAATGAACAACCAGTTAAGAAATCCAGCCCACTTAAAATTAGACCCTATCATAAAAGATGGAGTTATCAGAGTTGGAGGCAAGCTGAAAAGATCTAAAATCAGCGACGAAGCAAAACATCCAATTATACTACCAAAAAATCACCATGTGACCGTGCTCGTCCTGAGATATTTTCAATTCATAACCGGTCACTCAGGAGTGGAGCACACCCTTGGCGCAATACGTCAAAGATTCTGGCCGATGGGTGGCAGAGTGAATTTGAAGTCAGTTATACACAGATGTGTTCAGTGCCGAAAGACGACTGCACCTACACTTCAACAAAAGATGTCCGATCTACCAGCAGATCGGGTGAAGTCAGCACTACCCCCATTTACAAATGTTGGAGTAGATTGCTTCGGCCCGATCTATGTGAGACAGGGTCGGTCAAGTGTCAAAAGATACGGCATAATCTTCACCTGCTTAAATATCAGAGCAGTCCATCTAGAAGTCTCAAGCTCTCTCGACACAACATCATTCATCAACGCATTGAGAAGGTTCATTGCAAGACGTGAAATGCCATCAGAGATTCGCTCCGATAACGGTGGAAATTTCGTTAAGGGAAATAAAGAGCTGCGAGCTGCAATTGAAGGTTGGAACCAGGAGCAAATCCACCAACATCTTCTACAAAGACATATTGTGTGGTGCTTTAATCCACCAACTGCCTCCCACTACGGAGGAGCCTGGGAAAGATGCATAAGAACGGTGAGAAAGGTTCTGGCTGCGTTGACTACCGAACAAATTCTCAAGGACGAAGGTTTACGAACACTATTTGTGAGGTTGAAAACATCATCAACAGCAGACCTCTCACAAAAATATCAGATGACCCAACTGATAAGGAGCCTTTAACTCCAAACCATCTATTGTTATTGCGTGCTGGTGCTCAGTTACCTCCAGCAACATATACAGAAGAAGATGGTCATGCAACTAAGCGATGGCGTCGAGTACAGTATATGGCCGATTTATTCTGACGTAGATGGACAAGGGAATATTTACCTTCATTGCAGGAGAGACGCAAGTGGCATCATAAACATCCAAATATAAGGATTGGTGACGTTGTTATTGTCCTGAACGAGAACACTCCTCGTAATAGCTGGCCACTTGCACTTGTGGTGGAAGTCTATACAAGCAGTATCGACGGACTTGTTAGATCAGCCAAAGTCAAAACACAAACTTCAACCCTTGTGCGACCAATTACCAAGCTTATTTCCCTGGAGGTCGCAAATAGCAAATGATTTCATGCATTTATGCATGTTAAGAACTTTTCTTGGACTTTATATGTTATTTTTTACCTCTCTATTTTTTTACTCAAGTCTAATGTTATTTTTTTTTTGTAAAGGCTTGTTAGTGGCGCCTTTAAGGGGCCGGAATATTACGGCTTGAGTACATGTCGCTGCGGACGTTTCATACTTTACTTATATGTTCAATTCATGTATCATGTTGCCTCTCATAACGAGGTCACATCACTGTGTTGTTTTGCCGAAAATGGACAGTCATTAACCAATTCTTTCGTCAACCTAAATTCATTCCAAAGGCATAATCGCAGATAGACGTTTGTTGATATATCGTTCATTTTATTTAGTAACTGTTTAAGAACCAATGCTATGTAGCAATTCAACAAATCCATAAGAGGATGAAATAGAACATGACTTAAACAAATACAGTACAAGCAAAACAACACACCATGAAAATAATTAAACATACCAAACTACTGCCAAACAAAGACGGATTATTTTAATTGGTTCAAAAAATTATTATTATTATTATTATTATTATTATTATTATTATTATTATTATTATTATTATTATTCTATTATAATTATTATTAGTATTACTATTATGTGATCTAACCAAAGCTCACACTTGACAAAACGGTAGTAGAAAGATGATGATAGTTAGAAAGGTACCGGTAATAAAAGTTTCTTAGGTTGCTATAAATGTGTCAATATTATAAAGTTTAATGAAATTTTCTTATTTTGAGACTGTTGGTGTGATACAATAGACGGTAGTGTCCCTTAATAGGAGTTATTTGACCATTTGGCACATTCAGGTGTCTCCATAGTAGTAGAAAGGTAATAATAGTTAGAAAGTTGATAAGTTCCTTAATAAGTTGCTCTAAATATATCAATAAAAATTTTAGTGAATTTTTTCTTATTTTGAGACTGTTATATTTGTTGTGATACAATATAAAATAAATAACTGTCACTTAATAGGGGTTATATAACCGTTTGGCACACTCAGAAGGTGTCCTTATCCCATTAATAGTGGTGTCCCTTAATAGGGGGTTGGCTGCAGTGTTAAAAGATATATTGCCCCTCGTTTTACTGAAAAGTGTCCCTTTAATAAAAGTGTCTCCTGAATAGGGGTGTCCCAAAGGAGTGTTCTATTGTACATTGCTTATACATGCTTTGCATTGTAAACATAATACTGTAAATATTAAAGTTGTTTTGTTACTCCTATATTTTGTATTTGATTATTTAACACATGCTTCTGTGTAACTTATTTTGTAGTATTTATCACTAGATACATTGCAGTGTCAACACGGCACTATAGACACTAAAAGGGTATAAATCCTAAAATTCTTAGTTACAGTGTAGTATACAGGTTATTTTGGTCAGAAACAGTCTTGTCTGCTGAGCCATGAGTTTGTTTTATTTCATTTATTTTTTTATTCAGACAAGAATATCTGGGCCCCAAAAGCAACAAAATCAACATGACAAAAGTCTGGAGGCCAAGAAATACTGTACTTGGTATGTGATTTAAAAAAACAACGTTTAATTTTTTAGATGGCTCAATGTTCTAATGGTTAACTGTGTATACTGCTTTAATACATCTAATGATGACATTAATTTACTGTATATTAATGTACACAGTATAACATCAGTCTACAGTTTAATGGAAAAAAAAACACAAAAAAACGTTTAATTTGTTTATAACGTTATGAAGAAGAAAGCCTGCTGATATTCACAATTATGTCACAATCTGCTATATCGAAAAACGATTATATAAGGACCGTATCAGGACACCACCAATTACGAATGGTGGTGCGGCGGAAAAGATAATGGTTCAGAGGGCATGGCTTGTCATGACAAGAATGTTGTGAGTACAGTATTATATATAACAAAATAAGCCTAGACCTATGGAAGAGGAAATTTAATAACGTCGGTACTGTATACCACATTCAAAATATCTGATCTTAATAAAATGTTGGTTTATATAAAAGCTTTTGAAAGTGTTTTTTTCTTTTTCTTGCACAATTTAGTTGTTTTGTTTAAAGTTGCCTTTAGCATATTCATGCTTCAATTTGATTGCTAGAAACATCAGTGAAATCGACTCATGTTTTTTTGATAAAGCTCAGGTAGAAAATTTTGATAAAAATAATTCCAGATAATTTCGAAATTCAATAATTGTTTCTACTGTTTTCATAAACCTATAAAATAAAAATCAGTATAATGTTTAAAAAATTTCCTATGTATTCTGTCAACATGTTCTTTAAAACTTATTTAGAATGTGTATAGAACCCCTATAGAGATGGTGAAATAATTAATTCTATTGAAATCCATTCTATAGCAACTCTATAGAATTTTATATTATTTTATACAATCTATACACTCCCTTATAATTTCTATCAACTTTCTAAATAATATTTTATAGGAAATTTTTCAAAATGACATAGAAAATATATCGAAATTGAACAAGAGTTCTATAGGATTTTTCTAAAAGAAAAAAAATTCTAAAGAAATTATTTAAAGAAATTCTATAGAGATAATATATAATTAATTGTAGAAATTATATAGAATTTTTTTAGAACTCTTTCTATAAAATGTATAATATTTTTTCTAAGGAATTCTCTATAGAATTATATTTGTATAGAACTATCTCTATAGAGACTGGATGGGTTTTATTTAGAATTTTTTTTTAGAACTCTTTCTATAAAAAGTATAGTATTTTTTTTCTAAGGAATTCTTTATAGAATTATATTTCTATATTAATATCTCTATAGAGAATGGATGGGTCTTATATAGAGAAAAAAAATCTTAGATCAATTTTCTAAATAATTATGTTTCTATAGAACTATTTCTATAGAAATTTGATAGGTTTTATATAGAGAAATAATTCTTGAATCCAATTTTCTATAGAAGTCTATAAAAACTCATAAATATCTATAGACTTTCTATAGAATTCTATAAAACATTTTACTACGGGTATGTTAATTATTACCACTGACAGCAATAAAATATCGAAATTGATGGATGGGAATCCAAATTATACATAATTATAACGTTTTAAAATCGAGATATTATAATATTGTAAATGCAGACTTAAAAACAGAATATATTTAAATAGCGTAGTTAACTGACATATTCGATGGTATTATTGTGAGGAACATTTAAATATGTAAATAATGGTGAACGGCTTCTGAACTTCAAATATAATGCGAACATGACTATTTTGAATTGTACGTCGTTTTGCTCTAGTAAAACAACATGGTTAAGAGCTAACAAATAAAGCAGAATTGACTACGTGCTGTGTTCAAAGAAAGTTATCTGTTATTTTAAGGAATTGTGTATTGACGAAGACAGGAAAGGGGATTAGGTAGCGATCACAATGTTTAATTGTCCAACAAGAAACAGTGGGGGAAAAAAACAAAAAAAAAAACAAAAAACATGTGCTTGAACATTGCAAAAAATCAAGATTTCTTCGAAAATTCAATGAAGCTTAGTACGTATTTACTGAAAGCAATAAGAAAAATTGATAAGGAAAAAAAATGATCCCACGGAAATGCCTCTATTATTTTTTGGCGTCTGAAAACAAACAATTCGCGGATTAAATTCCCAGAATACGTTTTGTATTGTCTCATTGGCCCCACCATCTCTGGATTTGCCCCCTGTGTTATATGAATACACTTAAAAAAAAAACAAATCAATACTCTTCTACTTCAATTTAATTTTATTCCTGACATAATGCAACTCACACATTTATAATAAACTGTTTACATTTTAATATCTATGAAATTATAATAAATAAACATAAATTCAATATATATTTAGATAAGGCCACACTTGTTTTTGGTCGTGATAGGATAATTTCGAAATAAAAGTGGATAATTTCATCCATGTTGTCAAATAATTTGAAACTCTGGTAGCTAGCAAGTACTGTGCAATGACCTGGACATACGCGCAATCTTTCAGGTAAGAACTGATATTTTTTAACAATACATTTAAGCAGAATTGTCAGCCATGCCTTCATCTTGTTGCGCCATTGGCTGTTCAAATCGACAACAGAAAGGAAGCGATTTAATTTTTTACAGAATTCCACCTGTAAAAAGAAAATCAAAACGAAGAAAATTATGGATCTCTGGTGGTATTCTATGATCAGAAAAGCACTGTATGTAGCGAGCACTTCATCTCTGGTAAGTAAAAACAGACCCAAGGCCCATTCCCGTGATATTGCATTTTGCTTCCAATCATTTTTAGGCTGTGACATATGTTAAATAATGTTCTAACAGGCAAAAAATCTGACGACCTGTGTGCCTGTTAATTTTTTTTTATTTTCAATGTTGTTTTATGCGTGGTTTTATTTTAATACATTATTGCGGGTAATAAGCTAGCTTACAACATTAGATCGTCAAATGTGCTTTACCATCTTAAAAGATATTATACTGACGTGATAAATTACATGTATAATGCAATCATGAACTTATGTAGGCTAAACAATGCATTTTTTTAGCTCAGTGAAGAATGATTATAACAACATAACATAAAAAATAGTGTTCAAAATAGGTTATATAACTATTGCATACTCAATTTATTTTTTCTATTAAAAATATATTTAAAGAAAATTGTCTT